CTCTCATAGGGCAAAATAACTGTTTTTCAATTTATCCAGCACTGTATTCTGCTACTAGTTGCCAGCTAAAGATTACAAATTCACTAAATATAGAGAATACCATTAATCATGTCTTTTCAGCTTCCGACATATTTCTTCTGCTTGGAATTGTGGCTCTCAAATAATTGGATTAAAGGCTCTGTTGATTACACAAGTAAGTCAAAGCTTATAAGCTGGTTGGCATTCCGCTCGTCCCCACCACACAAAGCAGTTGCGCTGCTTTCTTGGCATCAGCATAATACAATGGGTAAGAGTGCAGACTCAGTAGTCACACTGCCAGTCCCTGTCCCCTTTGTCCATCACGCGTTATTTGTGTGGTCTTTGGCAAATTACTTGACTTTTCTAAGTCTCAGTTTTCTGTAACAATTTCCAGAAGACTTCAGATCCTACTAGAGAAACTCCAAGACATTTTTCTCATATTAATATTTTAAGAAATTTTAAATGACTGCGTTTGGAAAGTGTTTTGAGATAGGGTTTGAGAATAGTATTCACTTCAAAGGATTATTGTGGAAAATAAATGAAATAATGATTGTTAGTCAGTTGGTACATTACCTGGCACACAGTAAAGGCTCAATAACTATTAGCTTGGATTATTATCATCATAAATTATTCATATTGTGATAAAAGGATGTACTAGTGAGATAGTGCTAGTGAGATAGTACAGTAGTACTAGTGAGAGAATATAATATAGTCAATGACTGTGGAACAGAATTTCTTCCTGTAAAATTAATAAACTAAATGTAGTCAAATTTACAGGTTTAACCCTGGTTTAGCACAGAAAGAGAACAGAGATAGCAATGGAATCCTGCTATTGTTTCTACCAGGCAGTGTAATGTCTTCTAAAAATTATCTATAAATCCTACAAATATTTATCTGCTGGATTTTGAAATTTTTTTGTTCAACCTAAAACTATGAAAGAGATATGGGTCCTACTGGTTTGTAACTTACACCTTAAAAAACAAAAGCTAATAAACTTATTTTGCTACAATTTTTTCATCCTCAAAGCTCAGATCAGAGTAAACTGTCAGCAAAGGATAATTTGCTTATATTTTAAGCAAAAATGTTAACATTAGTACTATTCACATTTTCACAGACTTTCAAAATGAGAGCTCAGAATATTGAAATGACACTTTAAAAACTATTTTAAGTGGTTTTGTTCATATTAAATTTAAAAAATAGTTTATTCTGAATCTATAAAGAAGTAAAAATATAATTTGAATTTTTTTTTTAACTAGGTGACAAGGGTTAACTGATCCATTTATTCTCCAGGATTACTCTTGACAGGCTGATTCTTCAGTATCAACAAGCCACAAAATTCTGTTTAGTTTAATTTCACCAGGAAAAAAAAGACTTCCTGAAATTCCTTCTGGTCAATTAATTCAGCTAAAATGATCAGTCCTTATAATCTCATGAGATTGCACAAATTTTCATCATACCCTTTTGTATTACTATTTTAAATTGAATAAATAATATGTGAATATAGGCTCATTGGCAGGGAAATGTAGGTTTTTGCTGAAAAGGGTAAGGGAGACATGAATAATGAAATCAATCAAAATTATTGATACCAATAATGTAAGGCATTATTCTTGAGATAACATGTTACATGTTATCTAATCCTAACTAGGAAGCAACAGAGTTGGAATTTAGATTTAGGTCTGATTATCAAATTGTAGTAATCAAACTGTGAGGTGATGAAGGCTGTATTAATGCTGGAGCAGTGAAAATAGTGAAGTAATTAATACATAAGAACAAATTTGAAAGTAACATTAACAAATTGTGATAATCTGTTAAAATTAGGAGATATAGAAGAAGAATGAACCATAAATAAAACTTGAGCAGCTATGACAATGAAGACTGGGTTTTTTTAGTTATACAGGAAAAAATATCTAATAGGTAACTCTAGATGTAATAGAGTGGCTCAGGTAAGAGAAAAGAACTAGAGCAGTTTGTTATTTTTATCTCAGGCGCATAGATTACTCAAACCTTGGTTAATGACACTCTCATTCATGCATGACCTACTTTTATTGGGCAATTACTGTTAAAAATATAGTCAGCACTCACAGATCTACTAAATGACCAAAATTAAGAACTTGTTAATAATTACATGGAATCACGTCCACCTCCCTCCTACCATATTTTCTCCTGCCAAAAAAGGAAACTTTAGCCCCAGATGGCTTCACTGGGAAGTTTTTGCAAACATTTAAGGAAAAACTAATACCAATTCTGCATGAAACATAAAGAAAAGGAAGAAATTTATTAGGGAAAATTAAAGAAAAGGAAATACTTCTCAACTCATTCTATGAGAGCAGTATTACTCTGTTAACAAAAACAGACGTTATAAGAAAAAAAATCTGCAGACCAATATGCTTTATAAACATGGATGCAAAACTTCTCAAAAGTTTTTATCAAATTATCAGTATGTTAAAGGATAATGCATGATGAATTTTATCCTGGGGATATAAAGTCTATCAATGCAAAGAAATAGAGGAAAACAACAGAATGGAAAAGACTAGAGATCTCTTCAAGAAAATTAGAGATACCAAGGGAACATTTCATGCAAAGATGGGCTCAATAAAGGACAGAAATGGTGTGGACCTAACAGAAGCAGAAGATATTAAGAAGAGGTGGCAA